CCCCAACGTATTTTCGAATCTGGCAACGCATCCTTCCGCCGCCCCATCGAATGGGCATCAGCACCACGGCGGTGCGACTGGTTTTCCTTTCTTCCGAACCCCACGGGCCCCTCCAAGTGCACTGGCAGCCATTTTTCTCTCAGGGCCTTGCGGCCTCTTCCAACGAGGACCCCTCCATGCCCGTTCGTCCCGCGATCTCACCCGGCACGGCGACGTTCACGTCCTGGCGGAAGGGCCGCGGCGAGGACCAAGGCCAGTTGGGTCGCCCCAACGGCGGTCCGCGCGCCCCGCGCTACATACACTCGCTGGGGAAAGGCGGTCCTCAGTCCTTCGGCGGCGGCATGAACGGCGGGTTCTCCAGCATGCTCGGCCAGACGACGTCGGTCATGGACAACGTCGCGGCCCTCGGGGAGCTCGCGCGGGTCGGCAACGGTCTGGCCCAGACCCAGCAGCAGCCTTCCCCGCCCGGGGGCTCTGGGAGCTCGGCAGCAGCGCTTACGACCAGCCCCGCGGGCTCTGCACCACCCGGTGCCCCGACCAACTCAGAGCCGGCTCGGGAGCTCGTTGGAGCCTTCGCAAATACGCTCCGCTCCAGCGCCCCCGGGGACTCCAGGTTGCAGCAGACGGTCGACCCCTTGCACAACCTTGTGGGCTCGCCGACTCCGACCCCAGCTACCAACGGCCCAGGCTCCACGATTGCCTCGGCTACGTCTTCCCACACGTTGGCGACCAACCCGATCACCCAGCAGCTGCAAGCCAACAAGGCGACTCTCCAGACCACCGCAGAGCCCCATGGCCAGCAGATCGGGACCATCAACACCACCATGGCTACAGCAGCGGAGGACTCGGGCCACACGCCAGATGATGGAACGGGTGATGGCCATGCAGCAACCCAGTGCGAGCACGGGACCTGCTGTCAAACCACCGAGATCGACGCCAGCGCTGCCGGCGCTGGCACCGTCGCCCCTCGCTGCTCCTGGAGGCGGCGATGGCGATGGTGAAGATGCCACCGCGCCCCGCGCAAAGCTAGTCATGACGGTGGCGGGCCACAACCACTCCCTTACCATCCTCTCGATCGGGGCACAGCGCCAGAAGATCACCCAGCTCTCGCAGGAGATCTCCCAGGCGGATGGCGCCGCCGTGCCGTTCGCGGCGTGGTGGACCCAGGTGGCTCGGTGCAACGGCTTATCTCACCGGCAGACAAAGCGCCAGGCGCTCGGCATGCCTGCGCGGGGGCAACACGCAGGCGAGCAGTTCCAGCATGGTCGGCAAGCTTGTCTTTGCCAGTCTTCACCACGACGAAACGTGGGCGGCTGGAGATCTACAGTCGATTACGCCCCAATGAGCGGCCACACAGCAGGCCGACCTCACCACTTTCAACATGCGCGAGGACAATGAGTGGCCGATGCTTCGTATGTTATCCGCACTGGTACCTCTATTAATGTTTCTGTGGACGGCTTATCGGGTTTTGCCCGAGTCTCGGCTGAAAGCCTCTTGACCTTTGCTATCCAACGTGCACTATCCATCTCGCCAATTGTTGGTTTCCGCGCTGCGTCTGCATACTTCCTCCCAGAGACTGGCCAGCGGTTCAATTATCTTCTGAGTTCACTGGATCGGAAGCCGATCGCTGATTGGCATTTTCCAAGCGACGTCGCAACAACGGCCACGGCCAGTGAATATTGGGCTTGGTTTGCTGACGCATCCCAACCTCTGCCCGCTGGCTTGCACGCATCTTTGGGTTTCTGATTATGTATGGCCGGTCAAGCCTCGGAGGTCTCAGCTGTCCAAATGAAGGCCCCTTCTGAGGCGCCACGCGAGCCTGCCCCTTACAGCTGCGATGTACTCTATGCTCGCCCCACCCCTCTCCCGATTGGTCGGGACGTGCGTGCGCGCTTTTTCTACAATATCCAAGAATGCTTCGCTTTGTACCCAGCGACGCTCGGAGAAGCCATCGCGCCCCACACCACCCTGTAGCCATGTGATCCTCTTCTATGCTTGCCACAGCCCTCGTGCAATGAGAGTTTGACTTGAACAACTTGCTTTTGCATGTTGTGGCCTGCCTGCATAGCGCAAGGCACGAAGCCTCGCAAGCGTTGGGTAGTCCGCGCGTGAAAAGGCCCCAAGGGGCATTCGCGGTCTCGCGAGTATCTAATATTTGTGGCACTTTGGGGTTGCCAGCGCAGCTCGTTCCTGCCTTTCTCTCCTCTCCTCGTGTTCGCTTGCCGTGATCCCCATCGGCCCCTCTCGCCCTGCGCCCCGCTCGCCCCCCCCTTCCGGGGTTGGCCCCGGGAAGCCTTCGCCAGACAGCTTGCCGCCGCCCGCGCTACTCACATTTTCTCCGCTGCAGCTCCTTTGTGATCGAGCTCAGGATTCAGAGGCCCGCGCAAGCCTCTACGGAGGCGCACACACGCGCAGGTCCTTTATGCAAACATTCTGCGACACCAAGTGCAAAGATTGGACCTCCCTCGACGCCTTCGGCGATCTGGAGCTTCGCTCTTCCGCGCATTACCTGTTGGTCTCCGAGGGGCTCGTACAGATTTCCAACATATTCAAGTTCGGTGCTAACAATGCTTCACAAGTGTGTGTGTGTGTGGCGGTGAATGCGTGTGCGCGTGGGTGCGCGCGGGTGCGCGTGGGCGCGTGCGTGGGTTCGTGCGTGTGTACGTGTGTACGTGTGCGTGTGTGTGTGTGTGTGTGTGCGTGCGTGCGTGCGTGCGTGTGCTTGTGTGTGCTTGTGTGTGTTTGTGTGTGTTTGTGTGTGCTTGTGTGTGTGGTTGCGTGTGTGGTTGTGTGTGGTTGTGTGTGTGGTTGTGTGTGCGTGTGTGCGTGTGTGCGCGTGTGTGCGTGTGTGCGTGTGTGCGTGGGTGCGTGGGTGCGTGTGGGTGCGTGTGTGTGTGTGTGCGTGTGTGCGCGCGGGTGCGCGCGGGTGCGCGTGGGTGCGCGTGGGTGCGCGTGGGTGCGCGTGGGTGCGCGTGGGTGCGTGCAGCGTGCGTGCGCGCGTGCGCGCGTGCGTGCGCGCGTGCGCGCGTGCGTGCGTGCGTGCGTGCGCGCGCGTGTGCGCATGGCGTGTGCGTGTGCGTGTGTGCGTGTGCGTGTGTGCGTGTGCGTGTGCGTGCGTGCGTGTACGTGTGCGTGTGCGTGTGCGTGTGCGTGTGTGTGTGTGTGTGCGTGTGTGCGTGTGTGTGTGTGTGTGCGTGTGTGTGTGGGTGTGCGTGTGCGTGTGCGTGTTTGCGTGCGTGCGTGCGTGCGTGCGTGCGTGCGTGCGTGTGTGCGTGGGTGCGTGTGTGCGTGCGTGTGCGTGTGTGCATGCGTGTGTGCGTGCGTGGGTGCGTGCGTGCGTGCGTGTGTGTGTGTGTGGTTGTGCGTGGTTGTGCGTGGTTGTGTGGTTGTTTGTGTTTGTGTGTGTGTGTGTGTGTCAGCCCGGTGCTATCTCCCGCGTACCGTTCCAGGAGCCCACGGAAGCGGCGACAGCTGCGCAGTTCGCAGCCACCCAGGGAGTTGCAAGGTTTCGGGTATTCCGCTATTCCGCCGTGCCTCCCAGGGGTCCACGAAAGTGGAGACAGCTGCGCTTTCGCAGCCACCCAAGGAGTTGCGAGGTCTCGTCTGGATCCGCGTTGCCCCCGACTCCGCTGGACCTCCCAGAAGCCTCCGAAAGTGGCGACAGCTACGCAGTCCGCAGTCACCAAGGGAGCTGCAAGGTCTCCAGTGCTCCGCTATTCCGCCGTGCCATCCAAGACCCCACAAAGTGGCGACACTTGTACAGATCGCAACCACCCAGGGAGCTGCGAGCTGTCGTGTACTCCGCTACTCTGCCGTGCCTCCCAGGAGCCCACGAAAGTGCACAGTTCGTAGCCACCCAGGGAGATGCGAAGTGACGTGTATTCCCAGGAACCCACGATTTGCACAGCTCGCAGACACCCAGGGAGCAGCGAGGTCTCGGCTGTATCCGCATGGCCCCCGACTCCGCTGGACCTCCCTCGGGCCCCACGAAAGTGGCGACTGTTGCACAGCTAGCAGCCACCCAGGGAGCAGCCCGAGAGGAGGCAGGAGAAGGGGGAGGAGGAGGAAGGGGTGTGCGACCGCAGTGTTCTATTCACAAGGAGAACCCAACGCAGGAGGGTTGGGAAAACGAGTATACAACAGAGAGAAGGAGGAAGAATCAGAGAGACAAAGACAGAGAAAGAGAGAGAGTGAGACAGAGAGAGAGAGAGAAGGAGAAGGAAAGGGCGGGCGTGGAGCGTACACGAGAAGGCCAGGACGTCCACCGATTGCTTGTTGAATGGCGCGTTTCGAATGTTGTAGGCAACGCCACGGGTGGGCGGTGCACACATCTAGTTGCGCAGTTTCGACTTGAGTGTTGGCGGCATCGTTGGGAGGATCCCGCCGAAACGGATGATGTATTCTGTGTTTGTGGCTAGCGGTATCACCAGGAGGTACGACTTGTTCTGAAAGGTTAGCCGTCGCCACCAGCCAGGTGCCTGTGACCACCAACTAGTCCAACTGGTCTCGGTTTGTTCGCAGCCCCCGTCCGCATTGCAGTTCCCACACGCCCCAGCTGCAACGGTTTGCTGGCAGTGCCGGTTTCTGACGCCAGCCAAAACCATCCTGCGTTCGCCTCTACTAGCCCTGGAGGAGGAGGAGGAGGAGGAGGCATTGGTCTCCTACCAGCCCCCTCTAGCCCCATGTGCCCCGCGTGCCGGTTCCCGACGCTGGTCCCGACGAGCCAAGGCCCTGCCCCGCAGGACATTGATCGGGTATAGCCAGGACCCCGGGTAAGGTGACCCGGTTAGTGGTAGGGCCCGAGAGCCCCTAGAATCACTAAACCAGGTCTGCCGTAGCTGGTGTTTTTTCGGGTGACGGCAGTTCCGGTTAGTGCAACGGGGCGGGGGGGGGCGTCCCCCAGTACACATCACTAAACCAGGTCCCACTAAACCCAGTTCTGCCAACGCCCGAATTGATGGGGACCCGCGCGAAGTATCGCGGCCTGGGCTCGCAAGGAGGAGATCGAGTTCTTGAAGCACCAGCAGCAGCACCTCGATTCGTTCCTCAAGAGCCACGACTCTAAGGCCTGAGCCGGTCGCCGGTCGCACCGCTTGCGTCCTCTTCGCGGTCGACGCCACATAAGCGTGGTTGCCGCATCCTCGATCCCTCCATATCTTACAAGTTTCTTGCCACATGTCGGCTCCTCCTCACCCCACCAGTTCCTCCGGGTTCTCTTTCTCCTCGTTCGTTTCCTCCTCCTTCCCATCTTTGCTTCCGCGCGATGGTCAGCCGAGGGAGGAGAAAATCATCCTAGCCCTCCCATGACACTTGCCCGCGTTGCCGAGCGATGAAAAGACCGCAAAGTTTCTTGCTCATTACGCTGTCGATATTTCCCCGTTTCTTGCATTGCGGTCCTTAGGTTCATTCTTCGGAGAGGAATCGCTCAGTGTTGCGACAGCGCTCACCAGGGTAAGTTTGACAGTCGTTGTTCGTCGTAAGTGCGGGCATGTCAGCATCAAGGCCACGCTTGGCCCAAACATGTGTTCTCTCATGTCCGTATATTATTTGTCCTGGGAATTCGGATCCACATTATTATTATTATTATTATTGTCTTGTCGATCCCACGTTGCCCTATCATATTGATTCATTCGTCGTCGTGGTACCTGGTCTCCCAAAATGTTGAAATCGCCCATCAGTGTCCGACGCACACGTCGAGGACAGGCTTGCACGTCGCCCCCTCGGGAATGACTCATCAGTGCAGTTGTTTATTATGTTTTTGTTATTGGGAAGAAAACGGGTGAGGATGAGGAGAACTTGGAAGAGAAGGAGACAAAAAATGCGACGGTCACGAGGGCGAGAAACAGGACGAGCACACCATGCGTTGTCCTGGTCGTTCACGCGTCCATCGTTATTATCATTACCGTCGTCGTTCATTTGTTCATGGTCACGATTTGCACATTAACCATCGTCGTCATCATCAACACCGCCAACCATGCCCGATTGGGCTCAAGCATGCACAATTCAATTGTCCGCCAGCGCGTGCGTTTTATCGCAGCCTATCTTGATCTGAATGACCGGCACGTGGGAGGCATGGTTTGCCTACATAATCATCGGCGCTGGGAGTGTCCGCTGTGTCTTGGCTGGTAACTTGGGAGATGCTTTCTACCAGAATGCATACTCTTGTCGCGAGGGGAGGCACCGCCTGTGAATTGCATAATGCACGCATGCCCGCAAGATGGCTCCGTTATATAAGCGGGCCACTCGGTTATGGATATTGAACCGTGCCCCCGCGGAATCTGAGCACTCGGGGGGTGACTTGTCCATGTGGTTGCAAATTGGGAATGCAATGCTCTGCTCTCGCGGTTTCGCGGAGGACTGGGATTCAATTTCTGAAGGTTGGTGCAGTGTAGAAACAAGCCCAGTCTTGCAATAATCGAACATTGGTGTGAAGATGCTTCTATTCTAAACAGGCCTTTGTTTGAGCGTTGACATCGAAAGAGTTGCAAAGAAAGTCTTGCACGGGCCCATTGAGATAGAGCGACGGGTTTCGCAGGGTGTTGACATTCCGTTCAGGACCAGTTTCGATGTTGAAACAGGTCGCCGCATTTATGTCTACAGCAGGCTTGTTGGCAGAGCCTCCCACCGTCCTTGTCAAAAACCTATGCAAAGTGACGGCGGATTTCTTGTGCGCAGGTGTGCGCCCACGATCGCGGTGTATTGTTCTCTGACAGAGATGGTGAGCCTGCGCACAGCAGGCAGCACGGTGGGGACGTTGGTCAAGGAACGTGCACAGGAGGCTTCAGACCCTGGAGGCTTCTTTATCTGATGAGGGCAGGTGGAGGTATCGATGGCAAATCCGCGATCGGAGTTCCTCAGGCTTCCAGACCCAGCATTCCTCATCCCATGTTTCCTTGTCCCATGCCCCCACCGCCCTTGTCGAAAGGAGCTTGTTGTTGTTGGTGGACGGCGACGGCGGGCCCGCACACCGCAGGCCAAATGCCAGCACCCTGGCCGTCCCTGTCACAAACGCCCGAAGTGTGAGCGCGAGGCGTCGACGCGTGATCCAGGTGCTGGTGCACAGCGCACTTTGCGTGGTGTGTTGCAAGGGATGGTTGGGGGGTGCTGGCATTGCACACAGCGGGCGATATGCTAACCCCTGCCCCCCCCCCCCCCCCCCCGATGTCGCTTTCAAAAACCAACGCAAAGTGATCGCTGGGCGTCCGCGCATCATCCGAGCTTGGAGGCAAAGTGCACTTTGTATTGTTTTTGTGCTGGGGATGGTGGGGGGGTGACCTGCGCGCAGCAAGCAATGTGCCAGCCCCCCCGCCGTTCCTGTCAAAAACCAGTGCAAATTGGTCGCGTGGCACCCGCGCATTCTCCAGATTGTGGGACAACAAGTATCTTGCATTGCTTGTTAGGATGAATGGTGACGGAGTGCCTACATGCGTGCCCTCATGGGTCCGGGTTGGCTGCCAGTCGGGTGGGGGAGGAGGTGTTTATTAATAGTGAACAGCGGTAAACCCTCCAGGAGGGGAAGAAGGACGAGATGGAAGAAGAAACCCACTTAATCACCTCCGCCCAGAGGGCTGGTGGGATTCCAGCAGCAGGTGAGGTAGTTTCTGCCAGCGCAATTGACACACCCAAGATCTTGCAGTTCTCAGGAATTGACCGAAGGGAGCTTCTCAATAGGTCGGGTGTTCCTGAAGTATCAGCGTTGCTTGTGGAGCAACGGCTCAATGATTACTTGAGCAAGAAAATCGGATACACGTTCCATTTCGACGTCCCAAGTCGATGCAAATTCCGTACCGCATGGATCAGCTGGATAGTTAAACCGTATTACGATTGGATTTCAAATAGACATCGGTCAGTTACAGTCCGCCATTGTCAATGGTTTTATCGATACGTTGATGCGGAGTCCTGTCAAACGTCGGGCATTGACGTCTTTGATGACGTCTGTTTTGCTCCGAGCCATGCCAAAGTTCATCAAATTCCTCGTCGGGTCTGCTCCTCCGATCAGCCCGCAGGTCGCTCATGTTTTCAGGGTTCGACAAGCTGCCCTTGGATGGCATCCGACAACAGGTAGCAAAGAGCTCGACCTCATCCGAGATAAGTTGTTCTCGTATGGGCGCTTACGGCACATGCCGCATGGATGATTGTGTAAATAGCAGCCGTCGCGTTCAAAGAGTTGAAAGTTTCCGCGTGGCAGTTGCCTCTGTTTTACCTATTCGCCGTCGTTTACCCACCGCAGCTGCATACATGGCAGTTGGTGCGCAGTTATTCGCAACGTAAGTGCTGGCGTTCTGCCCTGTGGATTTCCAGAAGGAAGCTCCATCACTTGACGACTCATCATTGCAATACGAAGGCGGGTGAAGATAGTATGTTCTCGAGTTGGTCAAGTCCTTTTCCGAACTCGCTGAGGCTGACCTGTTTGTCCGTTTGTTCTCGGTTGGTGGCAGATGTTGTGTTCAGTTGGCGGCGGATGGACATCGCAACGGTGACAAAACCATAGGTTACATGACGCCAGCACTTGAACCACAGACAATGGAGTCTAGCATTCCTGATGCGCGATCTGTACGGCGCAACATGTGTGCGTGTGCGCATGATGCAAGATATGCGAGCCATCTATACAGATATGTGTACATACACACACGCACACGACATATGAACATACGCCCCCCTCAGGGCGCCCCCCACCTCGGGAACATCGTCGTGCTTGGAAGTGCCATCCTTGGGCTAGTCTGGGACAAATCGATCAAAGGAGGGGGGCTCCGAATTCAGGGTCTCCCCCAGGCATGTGACCAAGACCTTATTAAAATTAAGTGTTTCGGTTTTCTCGTCGAGGCTTCAGAGGGATCGTGGGGGTGTTCGGGGAGCCTATGTGGAGCCTTTTGGGGGCCTCTCTAGGGCCTCTTCAGGGCCTCCTGGGCACCGTCCATATTGGAAGCCTCCTGGGGCCTTCTGGGGCGCCTTGAGGCGTCTTGAATACATCTGGGGGAGCCTCTTGGAGCGTCTTGGAGGTACATTGGGGGCCTCTTGGGAGCATCTTGGGGACCTTTTGGAGCCTCCTGGGTACCTCGTAAGGCCACCTTGGAGGAGATCGATCCAAGGCAAGGAGGGGCGGTTCTTAGTCAGGTTCCCCCCCACGGGGCCAACATGTGGCCTACACCTCAGTCAAATCAATGATGTTGGCTTCCTCGCCGAGGCCATCTTGGACGGCCAACCCCTCGCGAAACGCCCCCATCCAGACCTACAGGGAGGGGTAGGGGGAGGGGTCAAGACACCCCCATAGCTCACGCCCTCCCGCCCTCTCAACACGTAAGTAACACCCGAGCCTTGGCATGTTCAGCGGCCGTCTTTGGATGGACAGCTACTGGAAACCAAAACCGACCCCATGTGCGCGACGTTGGGGCGAGGTGCGCCACGCGTGCCAGGCGCGCCACGCGCGCCAGGCATCCTTGGGGCCCGAGCGTGCCAGGCGCGCCTGGTGCGCCAGATGCGCCGCGTGTTCCGCGTGCGCCAGGTGTGCCGCATACTTCAGCCGAGCCAGGTGCGCCACGTTCGGGGCACGTACAGAGTGTGTCAGGTGCGCCTGCGCACGTGACAGCACACGTCGGGAAACATGATGGCCCCCACCACCCTTGTCGAAAACCAATGCCCATCATTGTGTCTGGAGGGCCTGCGCACAGCAGGCCATACGCCACCACCAGCGTCGCCCCTGTCAAAAACCACTTGACAGTGATCGGGGGGTGCCCGCGCACTATCCAGATTTAGCTGCGAGGTGCATGTTGTGTTGTTATTTCTGTAGGGGTGGTAGCCCTGCCCACAGCAGGCAATATGCTGACACACCCGCCGTCCCTTTCAAAAACAATACAATATGCTCGCGGGCCTGCCCAAAAGTGTACCTTGTATTGCTTTTAACAGGGATGGTGGGGAGCGGGGGGGCATTGGGTTGGCCGGGCATGTTCTAAATCTGCAGGCAGAGTGCATTTTGGTGTATCGCTTTTTGATAGGGTGGTGGGAGGGGTGCTTTTTTGATAGGGTGGTGTGAGGGGAGCATGGTTCCTGGTTGGCCCCCGGTCGCCTGGGGGAGGGGGTGCATATTAATGGTGAGGTGTGATAAACCTTTCCCTGAAGGGGAAGAGGGGTGTTGGAAGAAGAAGCCCAATAAACCACTGTCGCCCGAAAGGGCTGGTGGCATTATCAGTTGCACTAGTCGTCGACACGTTGGTTCAAGAAGGGCACGGATCAAGACTACAAGTCTCACTATTCGCGAAGTTTGCACGTGTGCGAGTATGCTTAGGACTGTGTTGGTGTGTCTGTTCCGTTTGCTTCCTCATTTTGCCAGATACAGTGCAGTCCAGCATGGTTACCCCAAGGTGTCCACTGCTTTTCAATTACACCATTACGTCTATGCTACCCAACGCAAGTACCCCCTAAGTTATCACTATGACGAAACACCTTTGAGTACATTACTGCAAGCTTATTATGTCGCCGCGTTGAGGTTATACAGGAGATTGCGTGTGACGACTCTGGCGGGAAGGGCGGATACCTCTGGAATACTCCACTCGCTCCTCTGCCAGAGGTTCGGAGTAGACTTTGCGAGCATCCTACGCAGCAGGGTAGTCCGCGCACTTTTGAATTTGAGCCAAGATCTTGGGGTAATTGCCAGTGGGGTTCCTCCCCATGAATCGACTCTTGGAATGCCAACCGTCGTCGAGGCAGTGCTTATACTTGGTGATGAGGCTCGCTCGGCCTATTCAGCTGTGATCCACAAATTGACAACATGCAGCGAGGCTTGTGAGATGTTGGAGGCAGCTGGATCACAATTCTTAGAGCGTGCAACAATTTCAATCGCCGCACTTCTGTCATCGCTTCTCCATTCTACAGTACAGCCGGGTTTGTTTGCAAAGAAGGTCTCGCGAGCTGTATTTCATGGTGATTTGGGTTGGGCTGCACACGAGGTGTTTGCAGGGCTTCTGAGGACACTGAGCACCGTGAGATCCAGGGCGCCGCTTGTTGTGGAGATAGGCGTCGCGAGTGGAACCACTTCTTCCTATATGATGAGCCGCTTTCCTCGGCTTCAGTATCCAGGTGGCTGCCGCCAGCTCCTACACCGTGCCAGCAAAACACGCTGTTTGGCGATCTTTCGAGCACAGCCCAGAAGGCGTAATAGGTGATGTCTCGTCTCTGGCCTCGGTCGTAAGGCGTGGCACGCACGCCCGCAAACTCGACAGAGGTAGAGAGGGCAGAGGCAAGGATGGGAGGAGGGGGGAGGGCAGCGGGTTGAGACGCGGGGCGCTGTCCCTTCAGAACGAGGACCCAAGACCACAGGATAGTTAGGAAGAACGAGAAACTGAAAAAGAGGGGCCACTTTCGGTGGGCGGCCAGATTCCCAGGTTCCCGTCGCCAGGTTCCGGGGCGATCTTTGTTGGCGACTGGGTTTCCTCGTTTCGGGTCCCGGGGCTCCCAGCTTTGTGAAGGTGCCCAGTATCTCGAGTTATCCCAGGTCCTTGCGACCAGGGTCAGAATGCGAAGTTGTGTATAAAAGTATGCATAGCATATTGTAGAGACCAGCAGTTGATCTAGCAAAGAGACGAGAGAAAAAAAGGCTGGATAGTTGAGCGCATAACAAAGAGGAGGCGCGCCAAGATATGGGATCCGAGAGAGACGTGCTGTGCGAATCGTGTGTTCCCCAAGCCCCCAGATGGCTGCATGCAGGGCCGTGAGCATCTTTGAGGCACTGGAGTGTGCCGGGGTTGTGCCAGGGCGTCCAGGAAGCTTCGGGAGTGAGAGTGGAGGGGCGACGCACGCGACTGGATGCCGCCATAGGCGGGGCCTTGAGAGAACTAGAGAAACCAAGGCAGGCAGACGGAACTTCGCGTTGCACCGCGCCCCAACGTGCCAGTGGGCTCGGAGGCGGACCTCGGTGTGGATCCTTTTTTCGAGGACGCAACCAGCTTTCAGCAAGGCGGCTCAGACGAACGAGAGGCGCGTGTTTACAAATCGGCAGACTATGTTGAGGTGATGGACTTGTACGCGCGGTTTGGTGAACGAGCAAGGCTTTGGCGAATGACATCCCGGCAAGCTCGAGAAAATATGGAGGGCCTTGCAGATATGGTTTACATCGACGGAGACCACTCGTTGGAAGCTGTCAAGGAAGACATCAAGGGTTGGGCAGAATGGGTGAGGCCAGGTGGAGTTGTCTTTGGGCACGATTATGCTCTTCATGCAGAAGATGTCATTCGAGCCGTGCATGGTCACATAGAAGCGGTCGGAGCGAGTCTGCATCTAGGCCCTGACATGACTTGGTGGTACTTTATCCCCGGCAATGACGAGTTTGGGGCAAGCAAGAAAAACAACAAGTAGGAGCCCTCACAGTATGTAGTGGCCTTCGGTCCATCCCGCCAGCGCGCTTGGGCTTCAGGTAGGTCAGAGGCCTCTTGGATGCCTGTGGGGATATGTTGGGAGGCATCTCCGAAGCTTCTTGAAGGCGGTCTTGGAGTGCTGTGGGGCCTCGCCTGGGCCTCTTCGGGTATGAATCGGCCCCCCCGGCGGCCCATTTGGGGCAGAGGGCTCGAAATGTCGGCTGTTGTTTTGGAGGCCATTTGGAGGCTTCTTAGGCCGTCTTGAAGCGTTGGGAGCCCGAAAGGCGAGAACGCCCAAAGCATACAAAAACATAGGACAATGAATAAGTCTGGCTTATCGGGGCCCTTTTTGAAGTTCTCGTCTAGGCCTCTTTGGCGTGTTGGCGGCCTCTACGGCCGTCTTGGGGCCATCCTGGGCGTCTCGGAGAGCTCTTGGGCCGTCTCGGAATCCCCATTGAACCATGTTCGAGACACCTAGGGGCCCTCTTGGCCCGTCTTGGTCTCGTCTTGCCGTCTTGCCGCCAGAAAGTCACGCGGGGACACGCGACAATCCTGAGGATCGCCCAGTCATGCCCTGAACTCGGGGTTGCGGGCCAATGAGCAGTCATAGATTCAATCCAGACTCGAATGGACAGAAGGACTCTCCACTTCTTGCTTCGGGGCACGGTGGCGGATGATATAGTGTACTCGCTTGGGCACTCGCGGATCACATGGTGCGCATGTAGACAGTGAGCACCGAGATGGGTAGATCAAAGGTTCTTCCACCCTAAGTACGTATGAAAAGCGCCCACGGGCACGCAAAATTTACATGGGGAACGTGCATCAAGCTTATAGGCCATTTCGCTCTTCTACTCAAGGTGAAAATTCTGCAACGGAGATGGGGAGCCGATGTTCGAGTGGTTGCTCGAGTGGATTCGGCATTATCTCGATGAATGGTTCCTTTTTAGCTGGTGTTCCTTCCTCCTCATCCCTGTCGTCGAACTTCTCGTTCTCATGCATGCTCCTCCCCCGACCTCTCCTGCTCCTGACACATGTTCCTCCTCATCCTTTTCCTCCCCCCCTCTCCTCCCAACCCCCTCCGCATCATCCTCCTCTTACTCCTCCTCCTCCTCCTCCCCCCCTTCCCTCCGTAGCCACTTTGGCTCGAGATGCTAGGTTCCCTGGGGGGCCCGCGGAGATCTCTGTTCCGAGGCTTGCTCTTCGCACTTCGGCGCGGTTCTCCCCGAGCTGGAAATCTGTGACATCGCGCAGGGACGCTTTCATCGCACATCTGCATGAGCACCAGCGGGTAAACTGAAGTTGTTCAGTCTCCTGGCCAACAAAGAATTGGCACGAAATTTATTTCGAAATCGGGAACGAAATTCTCCACGACAGTCCAGGTCCATCCCATTGCTTTTCGAACAAGATCCGCTCTGCAATGTTGGCGCCATGAAACATTGCTAAGTAAGTTTGTTAATGTTGGTTGGCGCTGGCAGTCGAGATGCGCGATAGTTGTAGTGGTGAGCGTTGGTGGTTGATGGTTTGTTGCTTGCGTGGCTTGGTCGAAATGTAGTTGTTGCCGCTAAGTTGGTTTTCGAGGGATGTATCCGTTGATCACTACACTCGATGGACAATACGCTGTTTTGCTACTGTTGGTCGATATGTAGGTTTATGTTCCACACATGTTTGATAGAAGCAACGAAGACCAGGATCCCTGCTCCCAGGCTTCGGCTTCGGGTCATTGGTCCCGCAATTATCATTACACGTCCGGTTACGCTGCACCCAGTACGGGCTTCAATGCATTTCTTGGAGGGTGTATCGCTTTATTTAGGTTTCCCGAAATTCGAATTTACCTTTCGCATGCCATGCAAGATCTGATAGGTCACCGCACCCCGTCGCACCAACAACGACCGCCCAGAGAAGAACAAATCAACCTCCCCGCGCAGGACTCCCGGCACCGCTTCAAGGACCACGCTTCCGCCGACCACCAGGGGTAGTTCAATGAACGACAGGGTGGGCACACATGACGATCGTCGACCTCGCCACCGAAATACAAAGACCGATACGAACAATTCAAAAGATCCCGTGGTGCATACGGGACCAGTATCCACGAATTCTAGCAGAAGCTTTCTGGTGGCAAACGACATGTTGCACGGGCCTAGCGGGACGGATGTCACATTTCCTACTACGGCATGGACGTTGTTCATCCTATCGCCCCGACTCTTACTGAACGGGAATCGAGGCAGCGCTGGGATCAATGATGGGCCTCAGCTCGGAGTGCGGGCACACGGCCTCACATCAGCAAACGAAGGCGGGATCCTGAAGACCAGAGACTCGATCAAGCACTTCGGTTGGCAAAAACTGGCGAGTTGAGCCACGCGGCACGCATGCTCTCGTCATCGGGTCTCGCTCCAGGGACAGCGGCCACGTTGCAAGAACTACGAGACCCCCAACTCCGACCAGCACAGCCAGCCGAACCTTTCCCAGATGGTTTCCACGCTTTTGAACCTGGTGTGTGCTTACGTTGGACAGACAGTCATTTAGAGATGTCCTACGACAAACTCGAGGGGGCTTATCTGCAGGCATCTGGGGTGCACGATACGGGCATTTCAAAACTTGCTTGGAAAATGGCACTGCCTTCGAAGCATTGGTCAGCGTCGCGGAGCGCCTGGCTTGGGCACCAGTCCCCGTCAATATTCAGGATGCCTTACACGCGTCGTCGCTCACAGCCCTCACCAAACCAAACAATCGGGCACGGGGTATTTCAGCTGGCGATACACTCCGCCGAATGGTTGCAAAGACGCTGGCGCGACAATTCCGCGCACAATTGCAAGCAGCAGTTTGACTTATGAACTGCGGACTTTGCGACGCCAGTGGGGCCGATGCGGCCATCCATTTTCTGCGGTGTGTGTTTGAAGAGAGCCCCAATAAAGTGATTATCATCATTGACGGCGTGGGAACGTTAGACCACGTGAGCCGGACACGAATTTCCGAGCAGCTCATTAACAATGGAGCGTTGCAATATGTAGTGCGATTTGCGCGGCAGCGGCACGGTATACAATCGGAGTTTCTTTTGGCGGGATGGTGAGGGCAACGCGCACCCGATTTTGCAGGGAGGTGGTGGACAATAAGGGGATGCGCTTATGCCGGCGTTGTTCTGTCTAGCATTCTACCCTGCATGCAGAATGCGAGACAACTTCCCACCCGGGGCAGAGATCATTCGTTATTTGGACGATCTCTATGTTGTATGTGAACCAAACGATGTTACGTCTGTGCTACACAATGTACGAGACGAACTACTACGGACATGCCATCTTGATATAAACGTAAGGAATTTCTAGACGCTTCGCGTAGCCCCACCAGCCAATCCAGAAACGATGCCCACAGGAATTGCCTCGATCAGGGAAGTGGGCAGCACACAGAGGAAGGGTCCCCCAGTGGAGGCCTCTTGGAGAGTCTTGGGTGCCTCGGAGAGCTTCTTGGGGCCTCTTGGGGGTCTCTTGGGGGTCTCTTGGGAGCATCTTGGAGGCCTCTTGGGCCTCCTGGGCGCCTCTTGGGGCCCTCTTGAAGCGCTCTTGGGAGCCTTGGGAGCGCTCTTGGGGCCATCTTGGAGAACATCGATCAAACAAGAAGCGAGCATTGGTTAGCGCTGCCCCTCGGGAGCCCAAAAAATCGCCTCTTGGAGCGCTCGTGGGGCCGTCTTGGGGTTCTCCTGAGCCTCTCTTGGAGCCCTTTTGGGCCATCTTGGAACCATCTTGAGGCCCAGGATGGCCATCGGAAGCGAAAAGGCGAGAAAGCCACACACATGGATGTTCCTAAGGTGTTGGCCTCTTCGGGGCCTCCTGGGGGAGGTCTTTGGCCATTTGGAGCCGTCTTGGAGCGGCATTGGAGCATACTGGAGCATCGTGGGAGCCATTCTGAGACATATTGGGATATCTTGAGCCATCTTGGAGGTCATCTTGGGCTCTCCCAGGCGCTTTTCGAGTCAGTGCCCCCCCAACCCCCCAAGAAACCAACATGTGGTTAAAACCTTATGACAATCAATGATTTGGCATTCTCGCCGAGGCCTCTTGGAGCATATTGGGTGCCTCTGGGGGGTCTCTTGGGGCCGCTTAGGGGGTCTCTTGGGAGCCTTTGGGGGGCATCCAGGGGGCCTATTATGGGTTTCCTGGCCACCTCTTGGGGCACCCTTGGGAGCCTTGGGGGCCATATTTTGGCCATCCTGGGGGAGATCGATCACAGGAGGGGGGGGCCCTAATTAGGGCCCCCCCTCAGGGGGCCAAAATGGGGCCACAACCTTAGTAAAACCAATGAGTGTGGCTTCCTCGCCGAGGCCGTTTTGGACGCTCCGACGACTCGCGGAACCCCTTGTCCAGTTCCATGGGGAGGGGCCAGGGGGAGGGGTAAACCCCTTCCCGAAGGGGAAGAAGGAGGGATGGAACAGAAAACGCCTTAAACCACCGACGCCCAGAGGGCTCGTTGGATTCGCAGCATGGGGGGTTACGCCGCCCATGCCCAGAAGAGTTGGCGGCACATGCACCTACAGCGTGGAAGGCCGACAAACCATTACCTGAACGGGGAATCAAAATTCTGGGCGCACCGTTTGGAAGCGCAGAATGCGTTGCTGCATTTTGGGTCACCCCATTTGCTGGGAGGACGAAGCTGTTGAACTACCTCCAGAAGCTGATCTCGTCTTTCCAGGTGGGATGGTTACTTTTGACTACTGCGCTGTGCCAAGACTCAACCAGTCACTGCGAACCACGCCCCCTCACATGGCACGACGCATGGCGGAAACCCACGACGAAATCACACAGTCGACATGTTCAATGATATTGCTTGGGACACGGCATTATATGGCACAGTTTACGACAATGTGGTTAAACAAAGGCTTCTCCACCTTAAGATTGAGCGGGATGGGCTTACGAAGCACATGCCGGACAAGTC